CGGTGTTTTTGATGGGGGATAAGAGTGTCTCCAGAGTGTTACCTCAAACACTCAGTGACTAGGCACCTCAAGATAGAGTCTTGGGTGTGAGAGAAAATTCTCAACTGAAACTTTTATTCTCTCTTCCTTATGAGGTCTTCACGTACATATTTAGTTGAAATGATCTGATTCCTTGTTGTAGAGCGTCCTCATGGTAATGCCGAGTGAAAAATGAGGGTGATGATTGTCGGGGTTGCGTTTGAGAATTTTTGTAGGTTTGATTATTTTTGCTATGTGGTGTTTTTAATGGGGGATAAGAGTGTCTCCCGAGTATTACCTCAAACACTCAGTGCCTAGGCACCTCAAGACGAAGTCTTGGCTTTGAGAGAAATCTCAACTTCACTCCTTTATTCTCTGTCCTCCTTATGAGGAATATGATACATATTTATAGCAGGTCTTAGCCTGCTTCTACGTAAGAGCTTACATCACCTTCCAACAGGTGAGAAAACAAACAAACAAACTTTTGCAAAGCTAGATAGTTACATTATTGCAGAGGAAAAGAAGGTAGGAGCTTTCATCCTTTTTTAGTGGGATGACTATTCCTTGTCTTCTTCTATTCCTTTTTCTTAGTGGGGTGAGTCATCCTTGATTCCTTGTCTATTCCTCTCCATTATTGCTGCTAGTGGTGGTGATCATGTCTATTGCACAGTTGATACAGATATGGTCTTTTGTCTTTTCTGTTCTGTTGGTAATGGGGCCAATGTTCCTTATGGTCTTTTGTCTTTTCTGTTCTGTTGGTAATGGGGCCAATGTTCCTTCTAGATTGATGAAGTCTTTTGTAAAATTTGTAATTATGTCCCTTCTAGATTGATCAACTGTGCAACAGACATGATCACCACCACTAGCAGCAATAATGGAGAGGAATAGACAAGGAATCAAGGATGACTCACCCCACTAAGAAAAAGGAATAGAAGAAGACAAGGAATAGTCACCCCACTATAAAAGGATGAAAGCTCCTACCTTCTTTTCCTCTGCACTAATGTAACTATCTAGCTTTGCAAAAGTTTGTTTGTTTGTTTTCTCACCTGTTGGAAGGTGATGTAAGCTCTTACGTAGAAGCAGGCTAAGAGAATAAAGGAGTGAAGTTGAGATTTCTCTCAAAGCCAAGACTTCGTCTTGAGGTGCCTAGGCACTGAGTGTTTGAGGTAATACTCTGGAGACACTCTTATCCCCCATTAAAAACACCACATAGCAAAAATCATCAAACCTACAAAAATTCTCAAACGCAACCCCGACAATCATCACCCGCATTTTTCACTCGGCATTACCATGAGGACGCTCTACAACAAGGAATAAGATCATTTCAACTAACAAGAATCAGGTCTGTCTGATAACCCTAGTACTAGTAAAAATCATTTTGACTATTTAAACAAGAATGAAGAAGAAAATTATTTCTTAGATAGTATCATAGATATCAAGAAAATCAAAGAGCAAACTAATTTTACCTTATCAGAAACCCAAAATTTTATCACCAAGTCATTTTTATCTAAACTATTTGATAGAAAAAATATAATTAAATATGGAAAGATGATAGGAGAAACAACTATACCAATAGAACAGACCAAAGGAGATTTTCTAATCAAATAATAAATAAGGAACAAATTAGAAAAAAGTTATCAAAACTACAACAAGAAGAACGAAGTAAAATAGCTTATATTCATATTAGTACGATACAAATTATTTTTAAATCAACAATGAAAACAGGAATAAGTGCGCCTATAGAACTAGAAATAAGAGATGACTGATTCATTAATAATGAAGAAAGTATAATAGCAAAACGACAAGGAAATTTAGGAGTAGGAATAATTAAATTTGGTATTAATTTACAACAAGGTTTAAGTCTAACAGACGGAAATCTTGATTCCTCAATAATTATAAAATATGAACTAAAAAGAGACAATTTTATGAGAGAAAATAGTAAACCATTTTCAGTAACATATCAAATAAACTACGCTTTGACCAATAGTCATCATAGTTTAACATTCAAGGATGAAGAAGTAATTACCATAGAAGAATTATTTAAATCACTAATACATTTAGAATCCCTTATAAAAATAATTAAATCAGACTATAGTAATCCAAGAATTAGTCTAGATGAACGACATCCCTCTAGAAGAATAACAAACAAATTAAAAGAAGAAGAACAAGAAGAAAAAGAAGAGATAAAAAATATTACGATACTTCATCAATATGACAACGATAGTGAAATAAAGAAGCTACAAGAATTAATCATAGAATTAAAAGATAAGATATAAATACTACAATGCCTAATACTTACCATATAAATAAACTAATAGAAGGAATAAACGTTATAGATCTTACTTCAATAGATAACGTCACTATGGTTACATTAGAACTATCATACTTTGTCTCAGATATTGTAGAAGAACAAATGAGTATTGGAACTACAGAGACATTAGAAGAAGGTGTTTCTAAAACCGAATTAATTACCGATATAATAACTAGTCTAACTAAAATAAAACAAAAATTAATGAATAATTAAAACTCAGTTAGGAAAACTGAAAAATCTCCTTATAAAATACAAAATTGAATTGGTTGTAATCATGCTACTTTTTCCTTCCATGAAAAATGAACAAAAACTGAAGAAAGCAAAGTTACGTGAAAAACCATGCATATATCAATTGCTTAGCATCAGATTCTTCGGTCAACATCTTTATGTAACATCATGTCAATTTGGTATCAAATTATATGCACAAAACTTTGGTACCAGAGCCTACAAACCCAACCAAGTTAACCAACCCAAGAATCAAAATAAAGAATCAAAAACTAAAATGAGAAATGACAAAAATGTGCAACCCGATTCAACCCAACGGGCTCACTTTGACACCCCTAATTCTAGTTTTCCAGGCGAGGACGAAGAAAGTTCTGGACTTCGGTTGTCAATCCCGGGAAGAATGAAATATGATCGGCAAGAACCGTAGATGTGTGGAATTGGATTTTGAAAAGTCTAACCCGGAGACCAATCCTTTCATTCGCAGGTTTGCTTCATAGACTCTGGTGATTAACTCCCAAAGCTGATTTGAGGGAGCACAAGATAATGAATCAGAATGACCCAAGTGAAAAAAGACTGTCTCTTTCTCTGAGAACAATTTGATGGCGTCCTGTTTGGATGAAGGTATGAGGAAGAAGGAAATCATGAAGTATTGATCTAATAGCATAATCAACCACAGAAGCTATCCACACCTGCCGGCCGCCACAATGTGTCTATGTCAATCGAACTGGGTAACTTGACCGGGAACAATGCAATCGGGGGAGCCGCTTTCATTATCGCATCATCGACCAACCCGCTTCCTGTAAGATTAGGATACTGCACAGAATCAGGGCTGTGGGAGACGCGAAGAACAGGGAAGTGGTCGATTCTGAGAATTTGGTTTGGAGGTTGTTACCTGCCGTGGCTCGTCCTTCTGTGGATGGTGCCGCTAGTGAATCAGGGAGACGAGGGAATGCGTTAGCATGGTTATTAGTTTTTTAGTAGCCATGGTGGCTACCTATATCTCCACCCTTCATTCTCGCCATTTTTTAATTGACCGTCAGGATTAATTAGGGATAGTTTTGGAAAAAAAATAATAACCACACCTAATTACTACTTTTAAAATATGAATTTTCATATAATCACCCAAAACCCTAAATACTTTTCTCGATGCTCTCTTACTTTCTCCCTCCCTCACCGTCGCTCTCACCTCTTTCTCCGCCCACGGACGAGCCACCAGTCGGATGGGTGGCGAGCCACCATAGATGAGCTGGTTGCGCCGGAGGTGAGGTGCACAGGCCGCCGACAAATCAAAATGGGGTAACTCCGGTCCAACAGACGTCGGACAATACAACAACTGGCCAGAGGACACCCAATTCTTCCGCAACGACAACGGCGGCTGGGCCACCCCTTACAGAGAATTCTATCTCACCTGGTACTCCCAAATGCGGCTGAACCATAGAGAGCGAATCCTCTCCTCCATCTACAGCGTCGGTGGCGCCAAGATCCCTCAGATTCTTCTTTCCTGGTGAAGATTTCCTGCTCCCACCTGTTTTTCTTTTTGCTTGATGTCTTCATCATTACAATGGCGCCTTTCATTAAGCGGTGAGTTTTATGTCTTCTTTATATTCGTTAGTAGCACTTAATGTTTTTTAAATGGTAGTGATTTTTTTTAAATGGTAGTGATTTTTTTTTCCGTAGTGGTAGTGTTTTTGTCGTATTAGTATTGTTTTTGTCGCATTGGTATTATTTTTGTCACATTGGTATTGATTTTGTCGCATTGGTTGTGATTAAATCTGCAATGGTATTTGTGTTTTGTGAAATGGTAATGTTTTTATTTCTCGAATGATATTGATGTTTTGTACAATGGCAGTATTTTTTTAATGGATTGGTATTGATTTATTGTTTTGTTGTTGCAGCGGTATTAGTTTGGCTGAACGAAATCAAGGAAAGATTGAGAAAAAGAAGGAAGAGAGATCTGGCTCAAAAATTGTGGAAGTGAGAGAAAGAGAGAGAAAAAAATTGTATTTAATATATTTATGTAATTTCCTAAAATGTAATTTATTAAAAAAAATCATTAATAAATTTGTTGTTATACCCAGTTTGTCCTTAGTAACCACGGTGAATAGTAATTACCGTAATCTGTCCCGGGAGACGAGTGTAGGCGATGGCAAGTAGAAGGAACAGTGGAGGATTTAAGGGAGGGAAGGTCGCCGCAAAGGGTGTTTGGAGAATAGGTCAACGGTGTTAAAGGAGTTGTAGGTATTTTAAGATTTGTTTATTTGTTTAATTTGGTTTTGATTAGTGAAGTACAATCTCGTAAATTTACGTTTTAAGTTAGGACGATAATAGTAAAACTAGGGCGACATTTTTCCATTCAGATTACAGATACTCGCACCTACAGAAAGGGGAAAAAAAGGATAGTTTTGTACCAAAATAAGAAAAATAAAAAGGGATTGACACATGGGCTTGGTTAAGAAATGGGCCACATTGTAAGGCCCAAAACTCCAATTCGTTCTTTCCAGGTCTCTCCGTCTTGCTTCTCTAATGTACATTTTCTCTTCCGTCCTCTCCAGACAAAAAATCTCAGCTTGGTGGATTGCCTTGCTGCTCAGTTCCGGTGAGTTCCTCCGGCAACCCTGAATCGCCTTTCTCTCTATTTTCCATATTCCCCCCGCTTACGGATCAATTTGATGTTGGAAAATCTGTCACTGCTAAAAGTGCTTTCTTCCTCCTAGAAAGCTGAATTGCCTTGCGGGGGACGCGGCGGCGGCTATTGCTTTTGTGATGTGGGGGGGGAGGGGGAGGATTTTCTCATTCCTTAGGACTTGACTGTGTTAATGCTCAGTGTTGAACTTCGATTCTTCTGTACAAGGAGTCGATTTAGAACTGATTCCGCTCCTTTTTTGTTGTATCGTTGTGTAGACCTGCAAGTCCCCAATTCTTCTCCCGGTGGTTTCTGGGTATCTTCAGAGGGTTTTGTGTGGCTGCTGAACTCGAACCACAATGGGGATCATTGAGAGGATTAAAGAAATCGAGGCCGAGATGGCTCGTACCCAGAAGAATAAAGCCACAGGTGATTTTGCTTTTGAGTACGTTTTCCAGCTTGTTTAGGTTTTTTGAGTTTCTTAATATGTTGTCTTGTTGCTGACTGATTGATTCACAGAGTACCATCTTGGTCAGCTCAAGGCGAAAATAGCAAAGCTTAGGACACAGCTGTTGGAGCCTCCGAAAGTATGTATCCCCTAATGTAGTTTTCCATCGCATTTGTATTTAGGATTTCACTCTTCCTCATCTATTTGGGATGATGGATGATTTGACATCCTATGTGTTCTGAATCAGGGTTCTAGTGGAGGTGGTGATGGTTTTGAAGTTACAAAATTTGGTCATGGACGAGTTGCACTTATCGGGTTTCCAAGGTGAGATCCCATTTCCAGATAGGTTTTTAGGAGGTAGATTAAATGTAAATGTTGTATGTGCATACATCTTTTTAGCCTTGTTCATAAAGTCTCAATTGGAATTATCATCCGACATGTTGCAGGATCATTGAGAACACAAGGAAGATTTCTTCTAAATGTGGAAGCTTTGTATGATGTTAACGATGAATGAACCTTGTTCTCCTTTTTATGATTGTAGTGTGGGGAAGTCGACTCTTTTAACTATGTTGACGGGGACCCATTCGGAAGCTGCATCATACGAGTTTACAACACTTACCTGTATTCCTGGCATCATACACTACAATGACACAAAGATTCAGCTGCTTGATCTTCCTGGAATCATTGAAGGTGCTTCCGAAGGAAAAGGACGTGGAAGACAAGTAACTAGTCGTAGTTCTAGTTATTTTGCACTTGCATGCCGTCATGTGAATTAGATGATTGCAGGAGTGGCTCATATTGTGCTTGTTTCAGGTTATTGCTGTTGCAAAGTCTTCGGACATAGTTTTGATGGTTCTTGATGCTTCCAAAGTAAGACCAATATTGATACTTCCTGCACAAATGATACTTTTTTCTGCAGTGCATAAAAACGCATGACCTTAAATTACTTGCTTTTGGGTGACCTATTTACAATTCACGATTGTTGCAGAGCGAGGGTCATCGTCAGATATTGACAAAGGAACTGGAAGCCGTGGGATTGCGTTTAAACAAGAGACCCCCTCAAGTAAGGAATTTTTGATCAGCTGTTCTGGTATTCCTTTCTAAACCATTAAAGTTCACTGAACGATGTCTGCTTGTCTAAGACGAGCAATCAGTTCGGTTCAGCAGTTATTGATTATGCTTTGCCTGGCACAGATTTATTTCAAGAAGAAAAAAACTGGCGGAATCTCTTTCAACAGTACTATGCCTTTGACTCATGTTGATGAAAAGCTCTGTTACCAGATTCTACATGAGTACAAGATTCACAATGCAGAGGTACTCATTTATTGATTATTGAATTGAAACATAGTTTCCAATGATCATCTAGTGGTATTCTGCCTTAAGTTATCAGAATCCAGTTACCAATATAGTAAAGGTGAAGCTATAGGCAGTAGGGTATGTCTCTGACTTACATATACATGCTTCATTTTATTTTTATCTCTTTCCTGCAATGCTTTTAAGCTACATCTAGACGTCCTATACTCTCATGCGATGAGCCTGGCAACTCAATTGAATGTTGGATGTCATAACTGTTTCCTTCCAGTGTATCTCACTTGCTTAGGATTCGACTGCAGATCCTATTTCGTGAGGATGCCACAGTGGATGATTTTATAGATGTGATCGAGGGTAATCGTAAATACATGAAGTGTGTATATGTCTACAACAAGATAGATGTTATTGGTATTGATGACGTCGACAATCTAGCTCGACAGCCCAATTCTGTTGTCATCAGCTGCAATTTGAGGGTAATTTATGTGCATCCATTATATTGATATGGCCTATTATGCCAACTTTAAGCTGAGAGTCAAAGTAGTGATTTTATTTTCTGCACATTCATGTGTGTTGTGCAGCTCAATTTTGACAGACTGCTTGCAAAGATGTGGGAGGAAATGGGGCTTGTGAGAGTCTACACAAAACCACAAGGCCAACAACCCGATTTTGGTGATCCCGTGGTTCTGTCAGTAGTACGTTACACAACTTCACTCTGCTTTTGCACAAGTGTAACATTGGTACTTCTTGGACTTCTTTTTCTAAATTTGGGACTGCAATTTGTGTGCTACAGGACAGAGGAGGTTGCTCAGTCGAGGACTTCTGTAACCACATCCACAGAAGTTTAGTCAAGGATGTGAAATACGTGCTGGTATGGGGCATCAGTGCACGACATTACCCGCAGCACTGTGGTCTTGCTCACGCTCTTCAAGATGAGGATGTTGTCCAAGTTGTCAAGAAAAAGGTAATCTTTGTTCTGAGAATTTGTCTGCCTCGTCATAGTTGTTTGTTCGATACCTGAGAACAATGTTTGTTTTCCCTCTTTGATTTGGTTTTCCAGGAAGGGAATGAAGGAGCGAGAGGCCGGTTTAAGTCGCATTCCGATGCTCCTGCTCGGATATCCGACAGACAAAAGAAGGCGCCTTTGAAGCAATGAACATTGATCGAGAGACTGGTTGGCATCGAATTAGGACCTGAGGTAGTTGGCAGCACTGTTCTTGTTATATGTTTGTATCAAAATCATGCCGAGGAGCCCGTCTTGAATGAATGCTTTGCTCATGTTTTCACTGCTGCATGAATCAAGAGGACATAGATTTGAAATTTTGTCACCAATGGTGGGTGCTTGAGATGAATACCTGTTATAAAGTTGGAAGGAGGCACGATCTATTATAGAGTTCTGTTGGGTTGTTGTAGTTGTTTTGTTTTACCTTGTCCTATTTTGGTCATGTTCCCTCTGTATGAGCGGTGTATCTAGCATCTAGTACAACGCTTCAGAGTGCTACCTGTTTTAGAAGGCAAAAGCAACTATCTTGACCCTAACAGTTAGATCTCAAGCATCATATTCAGAACCGATGGATGGTATGAATGATGAACTAGTTCAATTGTTCAAACGTAGTCAATCTAGTGAAAAAAGGAAACTGAAATGAAAACTGTAGACCCGGTCTGCGATATGAGGCACAAGGCAAACAACAAACATTTGAACGGTTTATGGGATGGGGTCTGGGCGGGAGTGTCAAGTCATCAACGGCGGCCGACGCGTATAAACTCCGGCGCATCTTCTGCATGCATTGCCAAGAGTACGGTGCTAGCTAGCTGCCTCTACACTCTGTTTTCTTACCCCTACCACTATGCATCATTGGTAATTTTAAATCAGTGAGTCCTCACTCTCCATCTACCATTACTGGGTTTCCTTCACTCTCTAGCTAGCCGTCGTCTCTTTTCTCCACCTACTGGCAAATCAACAAAAAAGTTACGGCGAGAAAGAAAAAAGAGAGAGCTCAGCTGTGACAAATTTTCATCCGAAACGGATGACAGCGTGAATGGACCAAACATCACAAAGTCACGGTTAACCTCACAGCCCTGCATGCACCAGCCGGGAATCGAACCCGGGTCTGTACCGTGGCAGGGTACTATTCTACCACTAGACCACTGGTGCTTCGTATTGTTTTACTCTTACTAGTTTTTCTTATACCCTTTTTCTATCTACACTTGGAATTTGGTAAGGCAACTACCACCATATCCATAACATGTGGACATTTTCATCCATGCAAAATTAGTTGGCAACAGTGCTGTCAATTCATCAATCACATTAAAATTACATGCGAAAAATGACAAGGAAAATAGAAGTTTATGATCTGCAGCAGCACCATTGCATGAATACAACCCATACACGTAATCTTACACTAGTTACACAGCTAGCTTGCCCAAGCAGCAAAAGGACCTCAGAAGAAGAAAAGAACAAAATGGGAGCCGGCGGCAAACTGACTCGTGATTCAGCAAGCAAGTAAAAAAGAGAAGCTCAATGGGGTTGTTAGTGAAGATGATCTGAAAGTCTTGCAACGGAAACTGGACGGAACTTGTGAGGCTGGGTTTGACTTTCATTCTCAACCAGCTGCTTCGCTGCGACCTTCATTCCATTCCACTGAATTCTGTTTGCTGGCTGGGTTTGACTTACTCTAGCAGTGGAACGTGAGCTTCTGAACTAGCACACATCATAGAGTAGCAGACCTTTCAAGATTTATATCAACCTCACCTTGTTATTTAACAAGTCACGTTGTTAGTCTATTGCAGCCGAGTTATGCAACTCCAATACCGTCTCAACTAAGGTCAAATGAAAATGTACCAATTAAGGACACTTTGTATGACAAAGTGTAAAGGAGACTGAAATGTGGAATGGATACAAACACCTATTAATATTAGGAACCATGCATTCAACAGTACTACTTAAATTATTTTCTTGTTCTCTGGTTTTGGTCTCAACTTCAAAATTCATCGATTATATCCTGGGTTTATTGATTGTCTATCGCGGTTACAGCCCAACCACTGTCATCCTCATTTAACAAACCATTACAAGTTTCAGAAATAGATTTTCAAGCTTTGCTTCCTTCACATCTGAAATAGATCCAATCTGATAACGATATATTGGGACTCATTCAACAGTGCGAGGCTTGTGCATCAGAGGGACCCAAGAACCGAACAAGTTAAACCATATGAAAGCAGATCATCAAATAATCAGAGAATAAAATATGACGTTTTGGGAAATTAAGAAACTTATGCTGTAACAGCATAAGATTGTGAAATGAAAAAAGATAGGGTGATAGCTAGCTAGAGACTGGAGGAGAAATTAAAAATGTGCACCTTGACGAAGCAGTTGGTGAATGATGAACATCCTTCCCTTTAACACCATTATAATTCGTAAACGATCCATCTTGAAAAATGTTTGTTTGCACTGGTATAAAAGGTGCAAGCTAGCCGAAAAAGCATTTCTGGTATAGTTGGCAAATAAGCCTTGGAATGCAATTAACTAATGTAACCGGGATAGGTTGTTCTTGTTGGTGACCTTCTTCTTCTTGGTCTCTTTGTTCTTCCAAGTACAACAGCCAATGTTGAATCATTCTAAGTGAGATGTCAAGATCTTCCTCTTCTTCTTCCTTGTCGCAACCTTTGTCTTGAATCACTGAAAATTCGATGTCAATATGTGTGATATGGAAAATGTCGCGCAAGTCTTCAACCCTTCTACTTTTGCATCTTGTAGACAGATGATCACATCAATACACTTGCAGAGATTCCAACTCAGTAAGCTTCGTGAACCAATCCGGTAAGCAACTGAGGTTGCCACAATCATTTATCTTCAATGCCTTCAAATTTGGCAAATGTTGAATCCATTGTGGTAGATGCACCATCCGTGGAAGCCCTCGATCTAAGCGTTAAGGAACAGAGGCTTGGAAGCATGCCTTCAGCATAACCATCATCCAATTGTGTTTCATGATAATAAAAAATATCAAGCTCCTGAATGGAAGTCAGATATTGAATGGCAGGAGACAGAGTTGACAAGCTGGGACAATCTCGTACAGTCAGGTGTTCCAGTGAAGTGAGATGTGGCAGTAACCCTTGTGGCAGAACCTGTAGATCTTCTATGCCCCAAAGTGTAAAGGATCTAAATCGGGAATGTGTAGCTGGGGATGGAGTAGATGGAGGAAGATAGGCAGCAAACTCAATCAACAGTTCACTGCTCACCTCCGATAGTTCAACACGTTCAACATATGAAGAAAAACGAAGAATTGATACCATCTTCAAACAGCTACAAATCTCCAAATGAGAAAGATGAGGAGGGAAAAGTGGCAACTCTGCATTCGTGGTGGACCAGCCTATCAGGTTGGGGCAACGCTTGATCTGGAGACATTTGAGGGAGGAAAGAAATAGGGTCCCGCACTGTATATACTTGACTCGCTTGTACTGTCACACTAGAAAGTGGCCAAGTGTAACCACCTACTAATGCGTAGTATAGCTGGTTTAGTTCTAAATGTCAACCCGGGTCCTAGGTGTGATGAATACTCCGTGAGATTCTTATTATTTGGCAGTTAACCTATAGTGAAGTTCCAACTAAGCTAGCAAGCAAAACCAGTAAATGTTGTTTTCCAAGTTTGAGAGAGGTCACCCAGATATGGTTCCCCCTAGACTGCAATTAAGCCAAGTTGTAATTTGCCAAGTTTAGATTCAATGATAATTATACTGCGGGAGGTTCTTAGACAGTCTGCAGTCTTGACTAAAGGTCTCCAGACCCTCTCAATCTGAGTCTCCAGCGGGCGACTAACCTCCACCGGAGTAAACAGACTGAGGCCCTAACGTACCAAGCCTCCTCTACTGGAATAAATCCAGTACAGAATAGTGAATTGACTCCTCAACTAAAGTCACCAATTCACTATCTTCAATCAAGGGTGCTCTATCAACCTAGGCAGATATTCTCATTCTTGGTCAAAGCATGAAAAACAGGAATTTGATCAGGATTCATGCAATTCAGAAAACCATGCCTCAATTGAATATAATCAATGTCAAAGAATTCGTACTTGGGTTCATACAACCAGACCTAACGTACAAATCTAGAGTTCTTCATACCCAGGTGAGTGAGAGAGTTTACTCCACAGAGAGAGAAGGGGAATCTAGGTGAGATGCAGAAATCATGCTCTGAAGGATGAGAATCTGCTTCTGGTAATCAATCTGCACTTCTCCAAGCTGTAGCCGAGCTCCAATGGTGATGAAGATCGATCTAGGGCGCTTGGAGACTTTGGTTTGTTGCTCTCTCTCTCTCTAGGTATCTCATTTCTTTCTCTAAAACTCGGATCCTCTGCAAAATTGGTCTTCTTTCCGTCAAAATTGGCCATAATACCCGGTCGGGTATTTCAGGTGACCGACCGGGTATTTTAAAACACCGCGCAGTGGATAAGGGCTAATACCTGATCGAGGTCCAGAATACTCGATCGAGTATTTAAGCGATCCGGCCGGGACCCCTTCTGGATTTCTGGCGTCCAAAACAGCTTCACTCGGTCGGGTATTTCAAGGGCCGACCGGGTATTTTCTTCCTCCATCGTCCTTCACTCCAACTTCCTCCTTTTTGACCCGAAACTCATTTCCACGCCTCCATGTCCACGTCAAGTCCTGAAATATGACATAAAACGCACAACCTAGCATGAAATCGGCTTAAAACACGAGAATCGTCTCTCAAACGGCTCAAGAATGATGGTATAAACATGTGCAATTAATGGTCTATCAATACTCCAAGCTGTTTAAATCGTCCAATATTACTTCTTCAACAGAAACAAAAGGATCCAACATGTGCAGAATCTGTAGCATCCCACACTTATGTAGTTGAATCCCTACCAGACTCTTTGAGAGAAGAGAACCAGCTCGGAAGACTCGTTCCAGTATACCCTTTCAGTGATAGCTCCTTCAGTTTTGAATGTGACTGCAATATCTCCAACGGCTTCTCATGCTCCTCAGCAATACTATCAACAATTGATGATGTGATACTCCACTCCAATTTCAAGCGTTGGAGATTGATTTTCTCCTTTAAACTGGCTGCCTTGGCTTCAGATTCATCCTTCAGCCATTCCAACCCTCTAACACACAAACTCCCGCCTAGGTTGTTCAACCGCTTCAGCTCACCAATTCTGGCAGCTCTAGGGTCTGTTGTTTCTGCCACTACGGATAAAGACAACTCTCGAAGATATGAGAGTTGTCCAAGCCCAACAGGGAGACGTTTCAACCTGGAACAACCATCTAGGTTGAGATACATAAGATTGGACAACTTCACAATGTCTTTTGGTAGTTGCTCAAGAAGCATACACCCAACCTGAACACCAGCAAGTTCACTAGGCTAGTGATCTCATCTGGAAGCACCATTGTTATATTATCAGATAGGTCGAGGTACCTAAGATGTTTCAGCTTACCAATGATAAGTGAGATGTTCTCTGTTATGGACCCGTCAATCCACTGCCTTCTCCTCTAACCAAATCATTAATCAAACTGGCCATTTATGTTGACCGTCGAATGCTTGACGGAGAACCATCCTCAAAAAATGGTGCGTAGTACAGTACCAAA